CGAGGCCTGTCTCTGTGTTGGTTGCTGAGTGACAGCATGGTGCTAGGGTGCTGCGGGGTGGGGGCAGGAACGGGAACGACACTCTGTAGGACTCACAGTCCGTGCTGGCTGCAGTGCCCCAGCATCTTGCCTGCTCTTGTGCTGCTGAGAGCTGGTTATTGTTTACACGCCCCTTGAGGAGAGCTGCCATCCAGCTGCGTGAGCATGCCAGAGGCAGCTGCGGGGCAGCATGGGCTAGGGCAGCCTCCCATGGCTGTGTTCCAACGCTGTCTCCCTTGGCAGGGCTACACCAGGGAAGGCATGAAGATCGGCTGCACCCAGCCCAGACGCGTTGCAGCCATGAGCGTGGCTGCCAGGGTCTCTCAGGAAATGGGAGTTAAGCTTGGAAATGAGGTATGGGGGTGTGCAGTGCTAGGAAGCAGCTGGTGCCACCCTAGAGGGCACAGGGCCCCGCATCCCACTTCCTGCTCCCCTGAGCCAGGCATTCATCTCCAGTCTGGAGCCATGTTTGAATTGACTGCCCTCAGAAGTCACAGAGTCATAAAAAACTAGGGTTGGAAGGGACACCAGGAGGTCATCTAATCCATCCTCCTGCTTAAAGTAGGGCCATCCTCAACAGACTCCCCAGTGGAGAGGACCTCTGCAAGGAAGATGAGCAGCATGATGCAGCTCTGTGGCACCAGTCCTCCCCATGCAGGATCAGACCTCTTTGTGGCCCGGATATGGCCCACAAGTCATAGCTTGCCAACCTTTGGCTGAGAGGAAACCATCAAGTCGGCTTCCTGATCTCAGCCTGCAGGGGCCCTGTAGGGCAAATACACTCCTCCTTCTAGATCTGAGGGTGCATCGTCTCGTGTGTCCCCACAGGTCCCCTCCATGGGTTGAGGCAGGGCGGTGGGGATTTCTTCTTGAGGGGTGACCCCAGGCAAAGAAAGCTCGCTGCAGAACAGTGCCCTACTGTAGGGGGTGCAGGTTTGCAGTGTCAAGCAACCTTGTTGGCAGACAGGTCCCTGCCTGCTGTGTTATGGGCAGGCGGCTTCCTGCTGACAGAGACTAAGCTACCTTTGCTCTGGCAGGTAGGCTACAGCATCCGCTTTGAGGACTGTACCTCAGAGCGCACAGTGCTCAAGTACATGACAGACGGGATGCTGCTGCGGGAGTTCCTCACGGAGCCTGACCTAAACAGCTACAGGTGAGAGTGCCCCGTGGAGCAGGTCAGGTCAGGGGATTGGGGGTGGGGTTTAGTAAGGTGGGTCCTCCTCTCACAGTGTTGACTCCAGAGCGTCAGTGCAGTGCTCAGGGGCACCCAAGAAGCAAAGAGGCACCTACATCTCCTCTTCAGGATTGAGCCGGGTAAATGTATGGAAGGGGGATGCTGTGATAGTGCAGGAAAGTTTGGCTCAAGCAGTGTGAGGGAGTTGTGTAATTGTGGCCCCAGGTTGGGGTATAGATGTGTATCCAGATAATCTCAGGGCTTTGCTGGGTACCTGTTGGAGTTTTTCCTTCCTTTGTAAATGGTGCTGGCCTCTCGGCGGGAGTGGCCTCCCTCTGAAAGAAATGGACATAAATCACCACTAAGGGTTTTTGATGGAAAGATGCTGATTTTCCTACCAGGAGTAGAAACCCAGAGGTTCCAAGTTACAGGGTCTTGCCTTGTGCTTAGGTTATATTCATTTGGGGTCAGGAAGGAACTTTTCCTCTAGGTCAGCACTGTCAAATGTACAGTCTGCGGGTCCTTGGTGCTGGTCCTGGTCCAGGACCTGCACTGCACACACCACCTGCATGCACTGCATCAGCTGGATCAGGTGCCATTTGCAGCGGTCACCAGCCAGGGGGCTGCTGCAGGCAGTATGGATCATGGAACAGGACACACACAGACAGACAGACAGACACACTCTCCAGCCCCATGCTGAATGCAGCACTGCATGCGGCACAGGTCCTGGAACAGCTGGAATGAGTGCTGCGGAGTGGGGGCGGCAGGGCCCATGGGCTGATCTAGCTCACAGACCAGCTCCCTGCCACTCGTCTAACCCATGAGGTCAGAGGTGTGAAATCCCTACCATAGGTTAGTTGGCAGGGTTTTGCCTTCCTCTGTAGTGTGGAACATAGTCTTTTTCCTAGGATCTTCTTAGGCAGGGGTTGGTAACCTGCAGCCCATGGCCTGGATCTGGTCCACAGAGAGATTGGATGCAGCTGGTGGGGGAGAACGAAAGCATGATACACGTAGGGCACCGCCTCCACCTTGCACCATGCAAGGTGGAGGTGTTCCTCTGCTGCATGCTACCGATCCCCTCCACAGGGCTGAAGGTTCCTGCTGCTGTCGCATCCCTGGTTACTCTTGCATTGAGGGTCGCTCTCACCCTGGTACTCCAACCTCCGTTTAGCCTCATGCTTGAATTCAGCATTCCCCATCACTGTTGGTGATGGTAATCTGCAGGGGAGGCGGGGAGGGTAAGCAGAGGCTGAAGTATGGGAGGGGGCCACAAGACAGCCCTAGGCACAGAGCAGGGCAAGCTGGGGCGCAGCATAAGGGATGGGCATCACACAACGGGCCAGGTAATAAGCTGCTCTTACAGGCTGTTGTCACTAGTTTTAAGCAGCCATTAACTACTTTCCTGTCATTGTAGTGGCAGGACATTAGCATTGCCCTTTCCTCCCGTTTCTGCCTCTGGCACAAGGCTGCGGGCTTACTTTGGTGTTCTGGGCATAGTGCGACAGTTGAGTGAGGGCTCGCAGTGGTGACTCAGGGCAAGCTGTAAGGCTGCCTATGGGCATGGCCTGGATTCAGTGACCCAGGAGGCCCCTTTCAGCTCCGTACTGGCCTAAGGCCTCAAGAGGTTGCTGGGGGGCTGGGGCAAATTTGATTTGGGCCAGTGCATCGCCCTCCCTGACTCCCCCCTCCACACCGCCTGCAGCGTGATCATCATTGACGAGGCTCACGAGCGCACCCTCCACACTGACATCCTCTTCGGTCTCATCAAGGACATTGCCCGGTTCCGCCCAACGCTCAAGGTGCTGATTGCCAGTGCCACACTGGACACCGAGCGCTTCTCTACTTTCTTTGATGATGCCCCCATTTTCCGCATTCCTGGCCGCCGCTTCCCCGTCGACATCTACTACACCAAGGTTGGAGTGGGAGGCAGTGCAAGCTGCTTTTGTGGGAAGCAGGAAGGAGAGTTGGGCCTGGAAGGGTTGTGATCACAAGGGATGGGGTGCATGTGACCTGAAGGGTGCACTGGAAAGTAGGGAGGGAATCCCTGCATTGGAGAAGGGACTGTATGGGGCAGGATGGACTGGGGGGCTAGGCAGGGCCCCAGGGAAGTTTGGCATGGGCTGTTTCCCCAGGAGGGTCCCTGGTAGTATTGTGATTAGGGGCTTGTGCTGTAGGTGGGAGGGGAGGAAGGGCTGCATCATTGGGCAGACAGAGGTGGCCTAGGAGTTGACCTCTGCCTCCCTTCAGGCCCCGGAAGCTGACTATCTGGAAGCCTGCGTGGTGTCAGTGCTGCAGATCCATGTCACCCAGCCCCCTGGTGACATCCTTGTTTTCCTCACTGGCCAGGTAAGCAGCTTCCCCAAACTCGGGCTCGACACCCATCCCAGCACTCAGCCCCCCAGCCACTCCACCTCCTCATGTTGGTCTTGCCTTGCAGGAGGAAATCGAGGCCTGCTGTGAGATGCTGCAAGAGCGCTGCCGCCGCCTGGGCTCCAAGATCTCTGAGCTGCTGGTGCTGCCCATCTATGCCAACCTGCCCAGTGACATGCAGGCCAAGATCTTCGAGCCCACCCCACCTGGTGCCAGGAAGGTGAGTGGGGGCAGGGGGCCTGTACCTTCACTGGGCAGAGGCATGAGGGACAAGTCAAAGGAGTCCTGGTTCAGAGTGTTTGGAATAAAAGGGAAGGGCTTGGAGTTTTGGGGGGTGGATTTGCAGAAGGTGGCTTCTTGTGGGGCAGAGGTGCTGAACCCCAGCCCACAGGCCAAATCCAGCCTGTAAAGCCATGTCATCCAACCCACGGGAGGCACCTCATGGGTCTGAAAATTTAGCACTGGGGAAGTAGTGGCAGTGCTCCTTGCTGCTCCCCTGCTGCCAAGTATCTGGTCCCATGGGGAGCCCTGCATGCTAGATTGGGTGCTCAGGGCCCCATCCGGGCATGTGGGACCTAGTCAAAGCAGCGCGGGGTGGGTTCTAGGTGCCATGCCACAGACTGATCCCACACTACTCATCTGATCCATGGGGCCAAGAAGTTGCATGCCACTGATGTAGGGGAATTGATTACACCCTGAAGCCACGCCCCTGGACCTCTACCATGTTTTGGAGCAGGGTTTTACTGCTCCTTGGGGGTTGTGGGTAGGGACAAGGTGGGTAGTGTTAAAGCAGAACCTAAATGTAGGTGGGGCTGAGGAAGGTGGAGGAGCTTAGATACGTCATTAGCTTACCCCACCTTTCTTGAGCCCTGCTGCACTTGCCTATCCTAGTCACTAGGTATCTGAGCTCCTAGGCCCAGTCTGGAGGGCTGAGGGGAAGGCAGGTGGGGGTGGAGGAGCTCTCAGCAAAGCAGGGCAGACCCCTCTCACCACTCTTAGTAAGTATCGCCCACCCCTTGCAGGTCGTTGTGGCAACCAACATCGCAGAGACCTCACTGACTATTGATGGCATCATCTACGTGCTTGACCCAGGGTTCTGCAAGCAGAAGAGCTACAATGCCCGTACAGGGATGGAGTCCCTGATAGTCACTCCTTGCTCCCGGGTAAGGGAGGCCCCTACGCGCTCCTTTGGGGCACTGGGCTGGGGCCTGGCTGAGCCCTAGGGTTGCGGGACTTCTGCTGAGCTTCTCCTTCTCCTTCTCCCAAGGCCTCTGCCAACCAGCGGGCAGGGCGGGCTGGGCGTGTGGCTGCTGGAAAGTGCTTCCGTCTCTACACAGCCTGGGCCTACAAGAATGAGATGGAGGAGACCACAGTGCCAGAGATCCAGAGGACCAACCTGGGCAATGTGGTGCTCCTGCTTAAGAGCCTGGGTGAGGTGGGGTCTTGGTTGGCAGAAGTGAGGCAGATTCAGGAGACACCTTAGCCTGGATCTCCTCCCACCTCCACCCCAGTCTAACTCCTCACTCCCATCTCAGGCATCAATGACCTGATCCACTTTGACTTCATGGACCCACCACCTCATGAGACGCTCGTGCTGGCCCTGGAGCAGCTCTATGCCCTGGGAGCACTGAACCACCTGGGAGAGCTCACCAAGGTAAGGCCAGCCCAGCATTTGTGTGCTGTGCCCCTGGCTGGCCCAGGAGGCGGCGAGTCAGAGGCGCAGACACCATCAGACATACACGCAGCATGGTGCAGCCAGGGGCTTCCCTTTTCTGCCATCCCCAGGGTCCAGGGGGGAGGAGTTGAGCATTTCACCAGGGAAAAAATGTGTTCCCCTTCCCTGCCTGGGATGATGACACTAAATAAGGACTGGGGGGAGGGCTGTACCTGCCTATGGAGCATATAGCACTACTGGAATCTAAAAGGAGGGAACAGGCACCAGCATAGAGGGGCCATTATGATCTGGGTTTGCATAAAGGGATGCTGAGCTAGATAGACAGTTTGCCTGATCCAGAAGTGTCAGGGATACAAACCTCCCCTTCCCCATGGCATTTGGGGCCTAACTGTTGTGTATATCTGCCCAGATGGGTCGGAAGATGGCGGAGCTGCCAGTGGATCCCATGCTGTCCAAGATGATCCTGGCTTCAGAGCAGTGAGTTCCCATTGCCTCTTGTCCCCCCTGCTCCTTTTGCTGTAGCTCAGTGATGACCCACTATGCTAACCTAGAATGAGAGTCCCTTTTCCCCTCTGATCTTTTCATACCACATCTTTTAGCCCTCATGCTGCTGGGCTCTTCATAGCCAGGCTACCTGCCCCCAGGACCATGGCTGTACCTCTCATGACATCTTTCCTGGGCTCTTCAGGTACAAATGCACAGAGCAAATCCTCTCCATCGCTGCCATGCTGTCTGTCAACAATGCTATCTTCTACCGGCCAAAGGACAAAGTGGTTCATGCTGACAATGCTCGCATGAACTTCTTTCTGCCTGGTGGGGACCACCTTGTCCTGCTCAATGTCTACACCCAGGTGAGGAGGCACCAGCTCCAATCTGGCCCTATTCGGGGGAGGAGTAGGGGAGGCAAGGCCTTTCTCCATTGGGGCTTACCATTTTGGATCTGGACCAGTCAGGGAAGCTGGATGGCTCAGAGGGTGGGGAGCAGATGATACCACCTCGGCAAATATTCCGACTTACTGCACTGTAGAACCAACACCTGTAGGACTGAGCATGCCATTGTGACTCTTACCCTCTCCCTGTCCTGCCTGCAGTGGGTGGAGAGTGGCTACTCAATGCAATGGTGCTACGAGAACTTTATCCAGTTTCGCTCCATGAAGCGGGCTCGGGATGTGCGGGAACAGCTGGAGGGACTGATGGAGCGGATTGAGGTTGACATCACTTCCAGTGAGGGAGACTACGTTCCCATCCGCAAGGTAAACCTTGCCCTACACCCTGTGCACACTCTGTCTGTTTGTGACCCTGACCGCTCTCCCTCTGACAGGCCATTACAGCTGGCTTCTTCTACCACACGGCCCGGCTGACCCGCACCGGCTACAAGACAGTGAAACATCAGCAAACAGTGTTCATCCACCCCAACAGCTGCCTCTTTGAGGAGCAGCCCCGCTGGCTCATCTACCACGAGCTAGTCTTCACCACCAAGGAGTTCATGAGACAGGTATAAAAGGCTAGCCACGGTATGGAATGCCATGCCATCCACATGGCTTTTGGGGGAGCATGCTGGCTTATAGCAGAGGTACCCAACCCCCGGGCTGCAGCTCGGTATCAGGCTGCAAACGGTTGGCTGCTGGACTGGAAGTCTGCAAGTGACCAATGTGCTGCGGACCAGCAGCCAACTCTGTATAAAAAAAAAAAAAAAGTATAAAAAAGGGTTGGCTGCCAGTCTGCAGTTTTCCAGTCCATGGTCTAAAAAAGGTTGGGAACCACTGGTCTCTAGCAAGGTGGTCCTATATGCCTTCTTGTTTCTCCCTGTAGCTTTGGGCCTAGTGTAAGGCTTGACTGTGGACAAGATAAGCAGTAGCTGAGAACTGGCCTCTGGGGTACATGTCTGTTGCTTGTAAAGTCCTCCAACCCCTTCCAGGGGTAAGATCCATGGGGAAGAAGGTGACATCTGCTGGGGGTATGGGGCCCTTCTATCACTAGATTCACTTTAAAGGTGATACACAGGCACTAGGCCTTTCCCTGGGTAAGTCCCATCCTGGTACAGGGGCCCTGTGCCTACAACCCACCTCATCTCTTCTACAGGTCATAGAAGTTGACAGCACATGGCTTCTGGAAGTAGCCCCTCATTACTACAAGGCCAGAGAGCTGGAGGATGCATCCACCAAGAAAATGCCCAAGAAAGTTGGCAAGACCCGGGAGGAGTTGGGCTAGAGCCCACCTATATAGCTGAGAACTGTAGGATCATCCCTTTTAACAAACTTCTGTACAGTTGTATAGTGCCAAGGAACAGAAATAAAGCTATTTTTAAATAAAAGTGGAAGGGTGATGAGCATGGGGCTAATAGACTCCACCTTGCTCCAGCGCTGATTCCCAGGGCCAGTAGTATTTCCTTGCTTCAATGTTGCTCCACCCCACACAAGCACTAATTGTTCCTCTTACCACACTAGCGAGACGTACTGGCTTATCCCTATACTACAACTTGTTTCAGACTGCCTTACAACATCTAGAGGTGTTCAGTTCCCAGGGGTTCTAGCTATTCCCCTTCAGTTATTTTTCTTAAGGGGAAAGCATGGTTCTGTAACCCAACCCCCTTAGTCTCAAAGTCTTGCAAGATAAGTAAGGGGCCATCTACTTCCTTTCCCCACCCACCCATGCCCCCATCCTCTCATGGCAAAAGCTCCTGTTTCTGCCACATCACCCCTCCCAGCTCTCCTACTCAAATCACCCTAGAAAGGTGCTCTCACTGCAAGCCTGATTCTAGCCCTACCCAGAGCCAGCCAGCAGGCCCAGCCCAGCCATTCTTACCATACTGTTTTATTATGTACAATTAAATTACAATTGTTCTTTACAGTGCTCAGTAGGGTGGGGGCTGTTTAACAAGGCAGGGGGAGCACAATCCATGCAGCAGAGCCTGTACCCTGGGCCCTTTCTGCCTGGGCACTGTGCAGAGGCAACATCAACTCACAATGAGTCACAACAATATCCACCCCAAACCCGATTTCCATCAAAACAGGAGGCTGGACTGATGAAGCCACTGCTTGGCTAGGCAGGGGTGGAGGGCTCAACTATCTCTGTAGTCCATTCTAGCTCTGCTGTTTGCCAGCCAAAGCAGATAAGAGCAGCTGTAGGGACGGTTTGTGTTCAGATAGGCCCAGGGCCACCAGAGCTGTTATGAGTAGCTTCTTCACCTTGTTCAGGGGTGGCTGGGATGGCATCAACTGCAGAGAAAGGGGAGATGCAGCAAGCATTAACCCCTGTGGCACACACCTTAGCCATTCCTTCTCTGCTAGGACTCAAGTTATTTCTGCTTCCCCACCCCCCTCCATGATGGTTTTGTTCATGCTCACCTTATCTATCTTGTGACAACGGATCAGACCTTGGGAATTCAAGAAGAAAGTGGAATAGGCATCGTAGGTCCTGGAAGGGAAGTGCAAGATGCAGAGTTAGAACGGGCAGCCTTGCAGCCTGAAGTCCAGGGCTGTGCCACCCTCCCTGCCAGGCCTGGCTGAACCTTGGAGAGGGTCCGAGTCTGGGGGCTCAGGTGAGCCCTGCCTGAGGCCAGGCTCTCACCTGTACAGCTCCTTCTTGTCCTTCTTGTAGAAGTGCAGCATGAAAATATGGAAGGGTAGCCCCGTGATACGCCATCGGGCCTGGATACTCCAGTTCTCTGGGTGCTGAGTCAGCTTCAGCACCTCCATCCGCAGGTTGGCAAAGTAGTTCCAGGCCACAAAGCGGCACAGAATCAGCAACAGCTGATAGACCATTCGTCCCCTGGCATGGAGTGGGGAACAAGCAAGGAGCTGGGCATCAGACCAGGGCCTACACCTCTATGGACTGGGGGTGGGGGAATCTCACCACAGGACCCATCCCACTTTAGGTAGAAAGTGGGCCAATCCTCCCATCCCTATATACTGTCCCTAGGGGCAAGCCCTACTCCCAGCCTGGACACGCAGTGGTAAGAGTGAACATGCCCCACCTCCAGAGACACCCTCACCCCAGAAGGAACACAGTCTCACCATCACCCCTCTATTGGGGAAGTGGACCAGCCCAAGTCCCCTCCGATTGTGGGGGAAGAAAGGAGTCAAATGTTCCTTGCTCATGGGAGGAGCAGGCCATCCCCATGCCCAGACCCTTGCATCTATCACACACAAAACAAGAGAAGTGGCACCAATGCACCCCGCCTCCACCAGAAGAGTGGAATGGTTCCCAGTACCCGTTACCAAGCCCATATGGCACTGACTGTGTTCTCACGTGCAGGATCTCATTGATGAACTCCACATCTTCAGAGTAGATTTGATAGTTTTGTTTCTTCAAGAAGAAGTTGGGCAACTGCAAGGAAAAGAGTGGAGGCTCCATGAGGAAGCCAGGCCAGGAAGTCTGGACTTGGTTCCTACTTCTGAATGACTTCAAACAAGTCACTGAGTCTGCCTCAGTTTCCCCATCTGGATGATGGCAATTACAACCCTCCCTTGGATTCTTCACACTAAAATCTTTCCAGGGAAGGGACCATGCCAGGCACTGCACAGACATACAAGAGTGCCCTTATCCTAGCTGGACTGTCTCCTTCACTGGCCACCACTGCAGCACCTGGCACAGCAGGGATTTGATTGTAGGTGGGGCCGTCTAGATGCCGCCGTAACACAAATGCTCCATAGCCCCCAAATCATGCCTTGCTCATAGCCTGGCAGAAGCTCACCACTCTTCCACCAAATCAGTTGGCTCCTCATGGAGAAGTCCAGTCCTTGATGTGTCAAGGACCCTGCACGTGTGACAAAGCTCTCCTTATTGAGAGCTTCAGTGAAGAGGTTGAGGACTAAAGCGAACACCCCTCTCTCCCTAGACGGGCCATGCATGCCTGTACAGCAAAGGAAATCCAGCAGGTTCCCACTTTGGGGATGATATGCGAAGGCCTCTGGGTGCTGCTAAGAGCCCTGGGGAAGTGGGTAGTGACTCAAGCCAGCTTGGAGTTCAAGTCTCCAGTCACGGGCCCCTCATGGCTTTGAACTCCATGAAAGTGGCAGACCGTGGGCTGGCAGGTCACACGGCAGCGACTCCTGCGAGACAGGACGGACACAGGCACACAGGCAGCCCTGGAATAGAGCTCAGGCAAGCGAAGCTGGAGGGAGGGAAACGGCTACCCAGAGAACCAGGCACCTGGGCCATGCGGTACCTCGTGGTGCAGCTTCTCGTACATGATGGCCAAGTGCTCCTCCATGCTGGGGTCACTGCTCTTGGGCGAGCCACTGGTGGCAGCGCCAGGAGCTGGGCCAGGAGCAGCCTGGAAGGGCACCAGGAGCACACAGGCTTCGAAGGCCTGGTAAGGTATCCTGCAGGGCCGGCTGTCAAACAGGCTGCGCAGAAAGTCCAGGGACGGGCCATCCAGGCCCTCGTTGTCACGCACGGCAATGTCATCCTCCCGCCGCCCGTCCACCATGGTGACGGGGCCCTCCAGGCCCTCCAGCAGGCAGGCGGTGGCTGGCCATAGGCACCGCCTCTGCTTCAACCTGGGCGGCAGCAGGCTCCGGCTCCGGCTCCGCTTCTGCTCCAGTGCCCTCGCGGCCGCCTCCTCACGCTCGGGGGCCAGCAGGAAGGGGAAGCCGGCAGCTTCCACGCAGTGCCCCGCCAGCGACGAGTGGCACTTCACAGCCGTGGACCGGGGGCTGCCCAGGGCCCTGCAGGCTGCGCCCCCGCAGGGGGCCGGGTCCTGGAGGGAGATGCGCAGGTCAGGGGACGGACCCCCAGGTCAGTGCCGCCCGCCCGCCGGCCTGGCCCCAGCACCTCGCTCGCTCGCTCCCCACCTGTGCCCCCACCCACCACCTTGACTCCGCCCCTCGTGCTGGCCACACCCCCTGCCCTGCCCTGCCCTGCCCCACCACTCGGTTTGACCCCGCCCCCTCCCCTTGACCCCGCCCCGCTCACCTGGTGCCGCGCCTGCCCGCAGCAGCCGAGCGCCTCGGCCTGGCCCCAGCGAGGCCCGCCCACGCCCCAGGCCCAGCCCCGGACCCCAGCGGTGGGGCGCAGGCGGCCTGCCACGGCCACGGCCCGGCTGCGCTGGTACATGACGGAACCGCGGCAGCTCCTTGCCTGCCCCTGCTTCAGCCGGCTGCAGCACCACGCATGCGCCAACGGGTGCCTCGGGCAGACTCTCTAATGAGCCCCAGCAGCCCGGGGAAGGGGGTCGAGGGCGCATGCGCGCTGCGTCCCTCCGTCCTTGCCTCAGCAAGGCGCATGCGCATTGATAAGAAGCGGCGCGATGAGAGCGCGGCGCATGCGCCCTATGACCATCGTTTCCGCACGCTGCGCGCTCCGGGAAGGTGACCGGCCGGCAGCATGACAGCGCATGCGTATTCGCGTCCAAAGAATTGGGAGGGCTACCAGCATGCCGCCTGACGCATGCGCATCAGCAAGTTAGCTGTCCAGGGAGAGCCGGGCACCACAGTCACGCATGCGCCATTGCGCAGTCAGGTCGGGGAAGAGCAGGTCCCCATTCCGCACGCTTTGAAGGGGGGGCGTACCTAACCTAGTGGGAGGGGTTTAACGCGCAAGGGGCGAGGCCTTCTTGCCGATAGGCCCAAACCAAGCGCGGGAAGGGGGGGGTGTGCGGTTGTGGGCTTGGCTATAATGGGGTTGCGATGCCCACCCTACCCGCGCTGTGCACCCGGGGCAGGATGAGGCGCTTCCCGCGCTCCCCTCCGCACCTCCTCCGTTTCACAAGGAAATAAAGAGGAGGCATCTGACCCGAGCCCCTTTAGTTATGGCGCGTTCCCCCAACACCACGCGTGTTAAAAGTGACGTGTGCCTGACAGTGCGCTACACGTGTGAATAAGCAGGAACCATTTGCTTTTGTCCCCCCAGCAGCTAAACCGTCCCAGTTCCCCCTTCGAGGCCACGGTGGGTCCCCGCAGCCAGGCGGACACAGCCGCCAGACGCAGGGAGCAGCTCCGCCAACGCCACGACGCTGCCAGTACACGTTGGCGAGGCCGGTCACACGGCCTGGCGGCGGCGCAGCTCCCCCGCGCTGCTCTCCCCGCGCCCAGGCCCGGTGCATCGTGCAGTTGCAGTCCCGAGAGCCGAGCAGCCTGCCCAAGGCTCTGCCTCGCTCTTCCCAGCAATGCTGCCTCCGGCGGGGAGCATCCAGCCAGCGGGAGCCAGGCCCGGGCGCGAGGGCCGGAGCGTGGGGAAGTGGAGAGAGGATCATGGCTGGCTGGAGGGCGAGCTCT